CCCCAAAACCCCAAAACCCCAAAACCCCTCAATGGAGATTGTATAGTCAAAAAGAAAATAAATAGAAAGTAATTAATTAATACTATTCACTAGAAGATAGAGTCCAAATCAGGGGTGGCTATTAATTTATGATTGATGGGAGCCATAAAATGTGCTCTTTGTGCCTGTAAGTCTACGCTTATTAATTCTTGGTAGAAGTTTGTTTAGATTCCTTTAGTTAGCTCGAAATCTACGTACAAGTCGTTGTTAATTGGATCTTGCATTCTCAGTACTACTTTGCCACTTTTCATGACTCTAATTTTACCTATCTTTGGAGGCGTTTACTCCTCATTTTTATCATTCAATTGTAATCTTTCTATCAGCTTTTCAATCTGGTTGACGCTCTTATTAATGGTACTGTCATTAAATTACTGCTAGTTAGGATTTTCTGAGATATTAAATGGAAGAGTCGAAGGCAATTAAATCAGAAAAGGCTCAACTTAACTATTCTGAGCATTATATTGATTCATTAATAGATCTCTTAACTCCCCATCCTCTTTAAAGTTCTCTGTTCTCTGCAGTTTGATGACAGAACTCTTCTCTTTTTCAAGCATAATTGCGTCATTATTGCTTTCTCTGTTGAGTTTCTTTTTTTCGTTGTCAATTAGCTATTGCTCGTCCTATTTGTACTGATTGAAGAATGGTAAGGTGATTGGAGCATAAAGATCAGGCTGGTTTTCAGCGAATTGAACTAGAGAATTCTCCTGTAAAGCTTTTTTATTCTTTTATTCCTTGTCTCTAAGTAGTTCCTATTTAGTTAGAGGAACCTAGAACCCTATTTAGCCTGGCCTTGTACCAACAAAATTTCCCAGGGCTGCCATTTAAGCTAGATTTTTCTTTTCATTTACTTGCTGATTTTAAGCTCCATTGACTGGCCCACCTTTACTTTTACCATATCTTTCCAATGCTTCTAGACGATTAATGTGCTTTTAGGGTCCTCCTTATTTTGCTTGTTCTAGCAGATTAGACTCTTATTTTACCTACATTGTTTGATGGCTATTAAATGTATCATCTAAACTAGTTCTTCTCTTAAGCTTTAATTGTTCTGCTGTCTAGAGTGCGAGATCATGACTATTAATACCTAACTCACTTCCTAAAATACCATTGAATTACCCTCGCTCTAATGATCTATGCAACATTGATTTATCAATCCTGGGAGTAAACTTATGATTGAAGTCTCTCTAGCCTTGAGCAAGACCTGATAGTCCTCTAATTCCAGAATTAATTTGGTTAAAAGGCTGAGCAAACGTATTCTATTGAGCTGTAGTTGTTTAGCCCACAGATATTGGGTTCAATAAATTAGATACAAACTTATTAAACTCCATGAAATTAGAAGGATTTGGGGTCATGTTAACTCTAGTATGCTGAGTTCTATTTATAGAAACAGCTTGTTGCCCTTTTTACTCAACCTTTTAAGGAGAAGTCTTTTTAATTTATGATTCTACCTTCTCCTTAACAGGGCTACTTTGAATTGTTGTATCTATTTGCATAGGCTCTTCCTCAGATTTACTTATAATTGTTTATTTAATGCTTGCTTCCTCCATATTTACATCAGCCTTATCCACACTAACTGTATTTTTTTACCCAATCGCCTGTTTTTATTGGTTGGGCTTTGGTTTTGCTTAATTTTACTTTTGCTACTTCTAAGTGACTGGGGGAGACTTGCTTCTTGATCTAGCTGATTTTACTTCTTCCTTAACATCATCAACCTTTTGATTTTTTTATTATTTATTGCTACCTTTGCTAACTGTACTTTATCTCTTATTTAGCTTTGGCTACTCTTCAATTACCTCTTTAATCTCCTGATCTTTTTTAGCATTAAGAGACCTACTCCTGCTCATCTTTGGCTCTGACAGATCCTACTTCTTTTTATTATCTTTCCCATTCGCTTTATCTTGCTTTTCATTAACTGGCTATTTAGATTTCAAGTCCTTCTTAGTTTCCTCTTTATTAGCAGTAGATTGTGATCTCTTTCCAGATTTATCATTTGTCTTAACCTCTTTATCTTTAAATTTATTAGCTTCCTTTGCATTCTCTTGCTTTTTAGCAGGCAATGCTTCTTTTTTTGATTTTACCATATTCAATATTATAATGAAGGTTTAATAAATATAAAAATCAAATTGTATTTTCTCACATTTTATATTTTCCTCAGCCAGTAAATTTTGATCAGACGGGGTTTTGGGGTTTTGGGGTTTTGGGG